GGTTGTGGTTGTGGTTGAGGCTGTGGTTGTGGTTATGGTTATGGTTGTGGTTGTGGTTGTGGTTGAGGCTGTGGTTGTGGTTGTGGTTATGGTTATGGTTGTTGTTGTTGTTGTTACAAACCAAGTTTTAAGTGGCAGGAATATCACAATTTTCCCAAATGGCACAAGTATTTCATACTATATTCCACATGCCTAGGCTAGATATGGGCTTGACTGAAAATGATGTAATTACTAATTACCCTAAACCCATTGGGTTATCATCATTTTCCCCCTTAAAACAACAATTTGGGATCATTCCCCGTTTCTAGACACACCCATATCACAATCTATGTTTGCTTGATGGTGTTTCGCCCCCGCGGTTGTTGCCTCTTCCCGCACTTTAAACTTGCAATAGCAAACTAAAAATAGGAACATCTTATCGGAAAGTGGAGAACTTATATAGATGATTAAATGGAAACATAGTTCAAGACTGGAAAATGTATATAGATCGAAAAATAGTTCAAGATTGGAATATACTCAGATTTGCTCAAGGTGGAAACATATTCAATGCATCTTCCCAAAGGTAAAGTTGATCACAGATCATGTTGTCAATTACGCATGAACCTTCCAGGCCAATCATGACACGGAACACATACCAGATTTTTTGTTCTTTCACTTACACACTTTTCCCAAAGAGAAAACCCAACTGCTTTGTTTAAGTCAAACATCTTGTTTTTCAATGACCAAAGCATCATGGCTGTGAAGGAAAAATCAACAGAAATTTACCTGCAGAACTTGGGGATTTTTCATGGGACGCCAACATATTCCCATGATATAACCATAGAAATTGCAGAAAGCTACGTGCTACGGGCCCCAGTTTCGACATAGTACCTGTACCTCAGTTTATGTAAACCTTAGATAATACTTCTTAATTGTGTAAGAATAATTGCATATCTCCATTTTCTTTTGAATACAACTATTGAAATACCTATTTCTTAGAGATAGTTGGGTACCCCTTACTCCCAAATTTCATTTTTTATGATTGTGTTCCCGAAATTGCACACCGAAATCTCAGATTCGTCCCATGACAAATCCCCCATTGATATACCACGACATCCCCATGGATTTATCCCATGTTTCCTGGTAAAAACCAGACCGAATACACTTAATGGTCCCATGATATTCCCATTGTATTCCTGGCCCATGTAACCATATAATACCATAAAAAACTACTGGAGAGAGTAGTAGCTTTTCATTCGCAAGCCCAAAAACAAATCGGGAACGATCCGCCTAAGGAGCTTTCGCCGTTCCTCCTGCGCTCTCCGTTCCTGGCAAAAAAACCAAGCAACGGGGCGCAGCTAAACCACGACTGTTTTCGTGCGAGAATAAAAGGATAATCAAATATTCATGGGATATTATGGAAATTTATGGTATATTAATAATATACAGTAATGGTGAGATGATCACGGATTTTCTTTTGGATTATAGGATATGCTTGGGATAATAGTTTGACTTAATGGGATAATACTAGGAATAAAAGTGGAATTCAATGAGTTTTAATGGGGCCTCAGTGAAAAAAGTAGTTGGATACATTGGTTTAGCTCACTAGGACAGCTGCTGGGTTCATTGAGAGGGTGAAACCAAACCAAGAAACAAAACCTGCATGTTCTTTTTGCTCCCTAATAATCATATGTATCCCCATTTAAAGCAAATGATTAGCCAGTATGAAGCCTCTGAAGAAAAGCGAACAAGGCGATGTCTGACCCACAAACGTGAACGCAATCATGGGGATTTCCGATAAACAATGCATAAACAAGGAAACTCATGGTGATTTCAAATACAAATATCAACCTATTTTTGATAACCACTTATGTTATGTGTTGATGGAAATCACATGAGTTTGCCTGCCTTTGATTTGTTTGTCCCGTTCAGAGGTGTATTTCTAAGTATGAATCATGAAAAATCATGCCAGCACCATCAAACGGACATGTTATCTAAATCACAAACGCAAAAGTGCTAAAAATAATAACATGACTAGGTTGCGATCAGTTATTTCTGGTATAGATTTCTATATAATATGTCTATTATATTTCTATAACATGACTAGATATCAGACCTCCCCTTGCGATCACCGGATCATCCAGCCATGGCGCCATGGCTTCCAGGCGCAAAATGGGTTCGAACGTTTTACCCGGCCTGGTGATGACAGTTTGCTATTTTCAGAATGGCCATTTTGAAATAGTTGATGAATAAGATGAATACCCAGCTAAAAAATGCTGGATCTTTCCAGTTCGCAAACTGGGACAGTTTACCAGAGGGTAACCTCCGTTTGTTGGATATTCACGAGCTGGGTCATGTTGAACGATGAATCCATCATTAACAGCTCCACTGCTACTGTGGAACGACTCTTACGGGTCCCCACGATGCCCAAAAGGCCCACACTACATTGAAATGCCATGAACATGTAAACTCATTATAACATCACAAGTGGGGTATTAGGTATATACCACTATATATATATACTTGCAAGAATCAACATTGAAGTCAATTCACTACTCAAATGGCCAAACTCAAACTCACCAATCCCGAAATGTATCCATGGCCAATCTTGAGAAAGAAACATAACCTTTAGATAGTTTTTGGATGCTTTAGGTTGGCATTATATGTTCCACCTGTTGCTTCCAAAACCATACCCAATCATTCACCAAGTTTTACCCACTCCAACAAAAGAGGGGCTTTCCAATCCATGGGGGTACCCCCAAATCATCAATTTTAATGGGATGTTCGGATGTTCAAGTCTAAACTATTTTTACCATCCAGCTACTGTGGATCAGCCATAGAAATCCCCAAACCCGTTGCACAAAGCTGTCACCTCTTCAGCCCGTTGCACGTTTCGCAACTGTAATTGTTCGATGTGCCCTGGCGCTCAGCGCTCGACTTCGACCAAGTAAATCACTCGCAGCGCAGCGAAGAAGATTTCAACAAATGGGAGTAACCAAAAAGAAGTGGCTCAAACATGTTCAAACCATGTGTAATATCTCTTGCAATGATAATGTCAATGATATTGGTAAACAATGGTAAACACCATTTTGGCAAATCATTTGATAATCTACCCTCTGGTAGGCTGTCCCATAACTATGGAAAACCACCATGCTATTCATGGGAAAACTCACTATTTCAATGGCCATTTTCAGTAATAAATGTGGCCTCAACAATGCAATGGTCATGGTCTTCACAGAAAGACACTCATTCTTGAGTCCAAGCGCCTCCACGGGCCGAACGGTGCGCTGCAGCCTCGATCTTTAGGAAACCAGGGCCATAAAGAACTGCCAGGCTTGGAGGTTTCCCCATAAATGGGGCTTACATACCCCAAAATGGATGGTTTATCATGGAAAATCCTATTAAAATGGATCATTTAGGGGGGTATCCCATTTTAGGAAACCTCCATTTAAGGAGACTATTGCCAAATCGCCTATTGTAAATCATCAGGGATCTAGATACTTGAAGTGAACTCACAAACCTGAAAAACTCAACAGTTTTCAGATAGCAGACCCCACTATAACTATCAGTATCTATCATTAATTCATCGGAAATAAGGTCATGTGGGGATAATTTCCCTATATACTAACGTTCCAATGAGGTCACAATGAGGTCGTTATTTTTTTTACCCATATTGGTTCATATTCCATAAGATACCTATAGGTATATACAATCCTATTGTCAATCCTCATGAATCCCCTGTGAATCCCCATTAGTCTCCGAAAAAAATCATGCAGATTGATGGTTTCTCCTCTGGAACAATCTACAACAACAAAAGAAGATGCAACTCAAGGCTAACCGGGGCCCGTTGCTAAGCCAAATGTGGTAAACCAATGTAAACCACATACTTCTGGGAAAATTATAATATTTCACTAACCTGAATCTTGCGGCCATTTGGGGATGATTTCCCTAAAATAAACGATGATTCCAGGGTTCGGTTGAACAGTGAGGTCGTGATGAAATTTACCCAAATATATGACATACATCTGAGAAGATTCCGTCAATGTTCAAATATGTTCAAATCATATCAATTGGAATGACCCCCAAATTAACCATCATTACTTAGCTATGGGTCAAAACCTTGGTACCCTGCTGTGAACACCACTTAACGGAAATCATAAGTAAAACCCATACCCATTTACCCTCAATGACCATCATTTACCCGGGGTCGGGCTCTATAGCATTGTTAAAACATACGGTTAATAGTATTCCTCTCAAACCCAAATGAAATCCCGTAATGGTCAACAATCCCAAATAGCTGCACAAAGTTCATCATAATACTACGGCCAGGCCCTGTGTGTTGCCCGGAAGTTTACAGGGACGGTCCCGGCAAATTTCATGATGATGATGATGATGATGAGTCTAACTGGGGTGGGAGAATTAAACCCTTATTGAAGAATCTTCAATGAATGTAAGACTTTAACGGGGGTGGGAGAATTAAACCCTTATTGAAGAATCTTCAATGAATGTAGAAGTTTAACGGGGGTGGGAGAATTAAACCCTTATTGAAGTTCTTCAATGAATGTAAGAAGTTTAACGGGGGTGGGAGAATTAAACCCTTATTGAAGTTCTTCAATGAATGTAAGAGTTTAGCGGGGTTGGGAGAATTAAACCCTTATTGAAGATCTTCAATGAATGTAAGAGTTTAACGGGGGTGGGAGAATTAAACCCTTATTGAAGATCTTCAATGAATGGAAGAGTTTAACGGGGGTGGGAGAATTAAACCCTTATTGAAGATCTTCAATGAATGTAGAAGTTTAACGGGGGTGGGCGAATTTATATGATATGTATAGTGTGAACAAAAATACTTGTAATTTACGCTATTCTGGGCTTGGGCAACACACGGGGCCTGTGGGTAATATTATCATAATCATAAGTCAAAAAAACTTGCATTTTTTTGGGGGGGGAGAATTACCCTTACTGGCATTCTTTTGCACCATCCTTTCCATCGCTTAATATACCCATTAACAAGGAATCCCATG